TATGTGAAAAGACCTAATCTACATTTGATAGGCGTACCTGAATGCGACGAAGAGAATGAATCCAAGCTGGAAAATACTCTTCAGGATATTATCCAGGAAAACTTCCCCAACCTAGCAAGGTAGGCAAATATTCAAGTCCAGGAAATACAGAGAACACCACAAAGATATTCGTCAAGAAGAGCAACCCCAAGGTACATAATCGTCAGATTCACCAGGGTTGAAATGAAGGAGAAAATACTAAGGGCAGCCAGAGAGAAACATCAGGTTACCCACAAAGGGAAGCCCATCAGACTCACAGCAGATCTCTCAGCAGTTGACTGATATTTTTGAAGGATGAAGAGAAAAGGAGAAGATTATAATACATGAGTGAGGATGTGTGTGTATGTGTGTGTGTGTGTGTGTGCAGATATGATGGGAGGTGATGAGGCAAGTTTGGGGGAAAGAGAGCAGTTAACTTGCATACAGTGTGTTAGTCTAAGAGAGAGAGAGAGGTTAACTAAATCCTAAGTGTCCAGGAAAAAGCCTGATACTGGAAGAACAGAGTAACGAAGCTGAGTTCCCCCTGTCTCTCAGCAGCTTTATTGATTTACAGTTGACATAAAGTTCACCTTTGTAAAGTGTATGGTTCAACAGTTTTGAGTATATTTACAAAGCTATGCAATTATCACTGCTCTCTAATTTTAGAACAATTTCATCACCTTGTACCAAGAAAAAACCTTGTACCCATTAGCAGTGCCTCCTTCTTCCTCTGTACTTCGCCTCCTCCAGTCCCAGCAACCCCTACTCTACTGTCTGTGAATTTCACTCCTCTCATACCTCATAGAAGTGGCTTTTATGACTAGCTTCTTTCACTTCTTGGCTATGATGAATAATGTTTCTATTAATATCCATTTACAGGTTATTGCATGGATGTGTGTTTTAATTTCTCTTGCATGTATACTTAGCAGTGGAATTGCTGAGTCATATGGTAATTCAAACAAAGTGGCTTTTTAAAAAAATTAATTTTATTTTATTTTAATTTTAAGTTCTGGGATACATGTGCAGGACATGCCGCTTTGTTGCATAGGTAAACGTGTGCTGTGGTGGTTTGCTGCACCTATCAACCCATCACCTAGGTATTAAGCCCAGCATACATTAGCTATTTATCTTGATGCTGTCCCTCCACCTTTCCCTCACCACAGACCCCAGTGTGTGTTGTTCCCCTCCCTGTGTCCATGTGTTCTCATTGTTCAGCTCCCATTTATAAGTAAGAATATGCGGTGTTTGGTTTTCTGTTCCTGTGTTAGTCTGCTAACTAACAATAATGGCTTCCAGCTCCATCCATGTCCTTGCAAAGGACATGATCTCATTTCTTTTTATGAGTGCATAGTATTTCATGGTATATATATACTGGCTTTGTATTTTAAGGACTGTTTGAGATCGCACCCCTCACGCACTGCTGGTAGGAAGGTGAAGTGATACAGCTGCTTTATAAAACAGTCTAGCAGCTCCTCAAATGGCTACACAGAGTTACGGTATGACCAAGCAATGTTACACCTACGTATATACCCAGGAGAAGTTAAAACTCTTATCCCCACAAAAATGTGTGCAAGAAGGTTCAAAATAGTATTGTTTATAATCGTGAACAAGTAGAAAGCACCCAATGTTCATCAATTGATGAATGAATAAATAAAAGGTGATAGACCCACACAATGGGATATTATTTGGCACAAAGAAGGGGTGAAGAGGCTACAGCACAGATGATCCTTAAAAACATTCTGCTAAGTGAAAGAAGCCAGTCACCAAAGACCATACGTTGTATGAAACCATTTTTTTTTTCTTTTTGAGGTGGAGTCTTGCACTGACTCCCAGGGTGGAGTGCAGTGGTGTGATCTCGGCTCACTGAAACCTCCCATCCTGGGTTCAAGCAATTCTCCTACCTCAGTCTCCCAAGTAGCTGGGATTACAGGCATGCACCACCACACCCAGCTAATTTTTGTATTTTTAGTAGAGATGGGATTTTGTCACTTTGGCCAGGCTGGTCTCGAACTCCTGACCTCAGGTGATGTGTCCACCTTAGCCTTCCAAAGTGCTGGGATTTCAGGTGTGAGCCACTGCACCCAGCCCGTATGAAATGATTTCAAGGAAATCTCCAGAAGAGGCAAATTCCTAGAATCTGAAGGTGAAGGAGTGATTGTCTAGGGCTGAAGTGGGAGGGGGAGGGGGTTCTTTATTTTGACATACTGCAAATGTTGTCAAGTGAACTGTTATGATGGATACACAACTCTATGAATACATTAAAAGCCATTAAATAGCATACTTGAAATGAGTGAATTGTATGATGCGTAAATTATATCTTAAACACATGGGAAAAAACCCTCCTGTTAAGTAGCCTATATCCTGAATGCTGTCACCTTTATGTGAATGAACCGTCCTGGATAGAAAAATTCTCTCTTCCCTCTTTCACATGGGTTGAGTCACATGGAGGACTTGCTTTCTTTACCACAGCAGAGAACTGCTTTTAAACCAGCATTTAGCATTGCTGGCTAACTTTGAAGATAAATCCAATTTATCCTCCAGGTAAGAAAAATTGACTATTGTCAAGGCCAAGTTAGAGAGAACAAAACTGTGACTGAAGCCCTCTCAGGGATATGCCAGCCCAGCTATCATGGGGGTCTGCCTTAATCTTCCCCACGGTGAGGCAGACAGTGTGGGTCCCTGTGTGTGCCTGTAGGTGGCTGGCTGAGATGGGACAAAGGATGTGGGATGAAACTCCAGGGGGACAGGCCACCAGGACCCTCACTGCTACAACATAGGCCATCAAGTCCCTGTCACCGCTAGGTGCAGGAGTGAAAGCGGAGTGAAGGAGCTGATGGAAAGGTGTTGGCTGGGGCCTCCTCGGTTCTCTGCTTACTGCTGCAACACAAAATTCTGGAGTTGAAGACACCCCTGCTCTCGACCACTGACTTGGCTAATGAGGTAATCAAGGCCCTGAGAGTTGACCTAAGGTCCCAGATGGCAATACAATTGACACCCACAATGTGCTTTGTATTGCAAAGAGCAGGTGCCAAAGGCCTGTCCTAAAATACCAGCAAGGTTCTCAAGGGTTTCTTTTTAACTCTGAACATCACAAGAGGTCTATATCTTCCTCTCCAGATGAATGGGATATAATTGGAGATTCAGATATAAACTTATCCACCTATGGTTAATTGATTTTCAACAAGGATGCCAAGTGCATCCTTATGCAATGGGGAAAGGATATTCTCATCAAAAGATGGTGCTGGGACAACAGGATATCCACATGCAAGAGATGCACAAAAATTAACTCAAAATGAATCAGCAGCCTAAACTGAAGAGCTAAAACCATAAAACTCTTAGAAGAAAACATGGGGATAAACATAGGATGGTTATTTTTGCTAAACATCTCTCAAAAGAAGTCATTAAATCTGAAATGATTGAGAGTTAGTGGCCAGGCCAGATCAAAAACAATTTTTAACAGCTTTGTTGAGATATAATTCACATACCAAACAGTTCACTCAGGTAAAGGGTCAGTCAGTGGTTTTGGTATAATACATTATTAACTTTCAAAACTGTGGTAAGAACAACATTTGCCATTTTAACCATTTTAAATATATGATTCAGTGTGATTAATTATATGCCCAATGTTGTGCAATCCTCATAAATATTCCTTAAGACTTTTTCATCACTCCAAACAGAAACTCTGTACCCATGAAGCAATAACTCCCAATTCCTCCTCCTCTCAGCCCCTAGTAACCTCTAATCTAATTTCTGTCTCTATGAATTTGCTTATTCTAGATATTCCATATAAATGGAATCATATAATCCTTTTTTCTTTCGTGTCTGGCTTATTTCACTAGACATTATGTGTTCAAGGTTCATTCATGTTGCTGAATGTATCAGAAGGCATTTCCTTTGTTTTTGAATAATCGTCATTGTATGTATATACCACATTTTGTTTATCCAAGTATTTTCTCCCATTTTGTAGGTTTTCTTTTCACTATCTTGATAATGTCCCTTGATGCACAAAAGTTTTCAATTTTGATGAAGTCTAATTAATCTATTTTTTCTTTTGTCACTCATGCTTTTGGTGACATATCTGAGAAGCCATTGCTAAATCTTAGATCATGAAGATGTATTCCTATTTTCTTCTAAGAGTTTTATGGTTTTAGCTCTTCTGTTTAGGCTGCTGACTCATTTTGAGGTAATTTTTTACATCTTTTTCATGTGGATATCCTGTTGTCCCAGCACCATCTTTTACAGAGAATGTTCTTTCCCCATTGAATTCTTTCCCCATTGAATGCACTTGGCATCCTTCTTGAAAATCAATTACCATAAATGTATGAATTTATTTCTGAACTCTCAATTATATTCCATTAATTTTGATGTCTATCTTTATGCCAGTATTACACTTTACACTATTTTGGTTATTATATCTTTTTAAATCAGGAAGTATGAGTTTGCCAGCTCTGTTTTTCCTTTTTAAGATTGTTTTGGTTACTCAGGTGTCTCTTGCAATTTCATATGAATCTGAGGATCCATTTTCCCATTTCTGCAAAATGGCCATTGGAATGTTGATAGGGATCTGTGGATCTGTGGATGGCTTTAGGTGACTGGGACACTGCTGAGTATTTCTAGCTATGATATGGAATGTTTTTCCATTTTTTTAGATTTTCTTTAATTTCCAACAACTATTTTTAAACACCCTTATGAATCCATGTGGGATCAGAGAAAATAGAAGAAACAGCCCCCGTCTCCTAGAATGCCTCTAGGAGTGAGAGAGATCTTTTTTTTTTTTTCTTATTTAGAAGTTAAAGCCATTGTTTGTCTCAGTGCTTTTTGGTGAGTCTTTTACTTGATATGAGCAGCCAGTAATCATGAAAGAGCAAAGTATCAAGACACTAGCTTCCAAATGGTTATTCTACCATTGAAGGAGCATAAATAGCACAGGACAAGAACCCTAAAAGCAAGTTCTCCCATTCTTAAAAGAAGAACCCTTAGGTGAAACCAATATGGAAAAGATGAAAACATGAGACCATGTGAAAAAAATTAAATTCTGCATAGGGGAGCAAAGTTACAAAAAGAATAGTGGGCTGTAAAAAAAAAATCTGAAATATTTGACAAGTAGCCATTGTTTTCCTCAAGGAGGTTACACAAATCCCTGAGACAAAGACAAACAACCACAGAGAAAATTGAGTGGAGGCTGTTTGCAAATGAGATGTAAAATTGGCTAATACACAAAGAGGTTCTAAATCTCATCATAATTCAATACACGTACATCTTAACAACAAAATACCATGTTTTAGCAATCAGATGGGCCTTGATTTAAAAGCTGACTAATGCCCATTATGTGGGTGATGCTGTAAGGAATGAGAGACTCATAACCCGTTTATGGGAAGATAAATTGGTGCAACTCTTTGGAGAGTGATTTGGCAACACACAACAAATTTTTTTTAAAAATATCCTTTGACTCAGCAATTTCTCTATGTCTCCATTCTAACTGTATCTGGGGTAGAGAAAGCAAGTCTCTCATGTGACTCAAGCCATGTGAAAGAGGGAAGAGATAATGTTTCTACCCAGGGTGGTTCATCAGCATAAGCGTCACAGTATTCAGGGCATAGGGTAATTAACAGCTGAGTTTTGTTTTTCTTAACCATGTGTTTGAGATATAATTTACATGTGTAGAAAATATTGTATATTTTAAATGTGATAACAAAATTCAGCTATTTATTAACATTATTTATTGAACACTCTCGTTGATCTGTATGT